ATCTGTACCTATAGAAGTACCAACAGCAAAGCAGCTGTCATTGGGGCAATTAGTTGGTTAATTTTACAGTGGTCTACTAACAGCAAGCTCAATCCATCTTATTTTTTGTAGAACCCAGACAATGTAATTCAACAAGGATATATCAGTGACCACTACCATTGCATCATTCAAGTCTAATTACTGTTATCTCTAACTCCTCCAGAAATACATTCTGGCTTTTGTTTACAATCAAGGAAAGACAAGTTTTAAGAGTTTCCATTTGTCCCCTCCAATTGTAATGACTCTAATTCCAATGTCAGAAAACCAATAAGAGAATTATGCCAGCTTTTGTGCATATCTATACAGATTATACAATTGGGGTATAAAATAACTAGGTGAGTCAGAATACCCATTGGACTTACTATGAGATACACCTGAGTCAAAACATCATTTATCACCTAGTTACCTAGCTCCATATACCATGACTCTAACTGGAGGACCACATTTTTTGGATCTTTCAATATTAATATTTACTACAACCCTATAGTTAACAGTCCTGGAAAAGTAAATAGTTACTTCTGCAAATGATCACAGATGCTTCCATAATTACTATATGTACTTATGGAAGTACTTTAGGGTCCTTCCTCGGGGGTAACTGGCCTCTCCCTGTCTATCAGTGGGCTCTAGATCTATGAGCTGGCTTATATCTGGAAATCTGATGAAGTACTGTGAGTTTCCACTTTGGTGGCCAATGTCAAGAGCTGTTTTTTCTTTTTTCTGATTCTGCAAATCAAACAACTTCCCAGTCAGCTGCTCACCTAATTTTTCTCCTAGAAACAGCATGATATACTAGCTATTACCATAGATTTCTGCATTGCCATCCAGGCTTACTGCTTGTTATGGTAATTATGTTCATATTGCCAGATGGTCAAATATTACCATCTGGCCTCTACCAATCCATAATATCTAATCACTATAGATACTCTGGAGTCTGGATCTCTGCCATCATCTCTCACTGTCCACAAAAAAAAAAGAAAACAAGGACAACACCTACCAAATTTCTCAAATATGCTTGTACTCATCTTTCTTCATTAAGTGAAAACAGTATCCTTAAGAGCCCTCTAGGGAAAATGGTCAGGAGGTGAGTTCCAGGGCAAATGTATTTTTTTAAAGAATTTATTTATTTATTTATTTATTTATTTATTTATTCATTCATTCATTCATTCATGAGAGACAGAGAGAGAGAGACAGAGACAGAGACAGGCAGAGGGAGAAGGAGGCTCCATGCAGGGAGCCCGATGCAGGCCTCGACCCTGGGACCCCAGGATCATGCCCTGAGCCAATGGCAGGCGCTAAACTGCTGAGCCACCCAGGGATCCCCAGGACAAATGTATTATATCCATTTTAATATTCTCATCTTTCTGTCTTCTGACCCTTTCTTTAATAGTATACCAAAAAGCTCTAGCCTCTCTACTTTATTTATCATATGCCTTTGTTGAGTCCATTTTCAAGGAGTCATCCCGACAAATGAATAGGACCAGATCCAGGTGTCCTTCTCAAAGCATTAAGTCTCAAACCACAGTTGAATGCCTCCATGTAAATGAACTCTCCTCTATGTAACCCCTATGGTCAAATCCTTAAACACATTCCTATACACTTGATGATTAACAGTATTATCCAGGTCCTAAATCCCTTTGACAGGGAGGGCTTCTTATGTAGTGCCTATTTCTTCCTGGAGGAAAACAGGCTTACATCTGTGTTGAAATCTGAGATCTGATTCGGATTATTGGCCTGGAGGTAATAAAATTGAATGTTGATCTTCTGAGGGTAAACATCATCAGGCAAGAAAACTACTTCATTGCATTGGTCATTTACAGTCTTTTAGAAAAGGGGAAACCATTCTCTGGAAATAGTGCAAGAGGTATTTCTGCTGGCCAGAAGTGTTCAAAGAAATTGGAGAGGGTGGCATTTACAATATTTGTCACTTATATACACAAATTCCCCTATCTCAGGTGTAGTGGTTGAATAATGTTCCCCCAGAGCCTCAGATTGTACCCTTATTTGGAAATTGGTCTCTATAGATGTAATTTGTTAATTTTGAGATGAGATGTGCCTGGCTGGTTCAGTCGGTGGAGCATGAGAGTTTTGATCTCAGGGTTGTAACTTTGAGCCCCACATTATTGGTTAAAGATTACTTAAAAATAAAAAATGATTTTGGGATAAAATCATCCTTGATTTAGAATAGGCCTTAAAACCGATGACTGGTGTCCTTATAAAGACGAAAGGACACAGAGACATAGGGAACAAGGTCATGTGAAGATACATGAAGAGATTGGAGTTATGCTGCTACAAATCAAAGGACATTAGGAGCCACCAGAAGCTGAAAGAGGCAAGGAAGGATTCTTCCCAGAGTGTTGAGAGAGAGAATGGCCTGACCAAGATCTTGATTTTGGACTTCTGACCTCCAAATTGAAATAATAAATTTCTATTGTTTAAAGTCACTTAGTATATAGGTAGAATTGATATATCAGGACTCAGGGTCACATTCTTTTCTTATCAGGGCTTTGACTTTAACAAATAAGACCTATTAAACTATGTATTCATCTCCTTATAAACAGGCCTATTTTTAGCACAGTCTGCCTTAGAGCTGTAGGAAGAGTTCCTTTAAAGCTCCCTCTAAAAAAATAAATAAATAAAGCTCCCTTAAAGAGGATCTAACATGCCTTAAATCTGTAATTAACGTTAATCATCTTATTTTCATAGTTTCCAGTGATTTGGTAGCCAAAATAACGGCCACCAAAGAGGTCTATGCCCTAATCCTCAGAACCTATAAATATATTGCCTTACATGACAAAAAAAAAAAAAAAAGACTTGTCCATTGTAATTAAGATGTATTGAGATAAGGAGAGTTTCCTAGATTATCCAAGAAGGCCCAATCTAAACATATGAATCCCTAAAAAGGAGTGGAGAACCTCTCCCAGCTATGGTTAAAGAGAGATGCTATATTATCTTTAAAAATGGAGGAAGGGAGCTACAAACCTAGAAATGTATACTGTTTCTAAAAGCGACAAATACCCACCATTTGCTTTGACATGGATGGAACTGGAGGGTGTCATGCTGAGTGAAATAAGTCAATCGGAAAAGGACAAACATTATATGGTCTCATTCATTTGGAGAATATAAAAATTAGTGAAAGGGAATAAAGGGAAAGGAGAGAAAATGAGTGAAAATATCAGTGAGGGGGACAAAACATGAGAGACACCTAACTCTGGGAAATGAACAAGGGGTAGTGGAAAGGAAGGTGGGTGGGGGGTTGGGGTGACTGGTTGATGGGCACTGACGAGCACTGGGTGTTATGCTAAATGTTGGCAAATTGAACTGCAATAAAAAATTTAAAAAATAAGTAAATAAATAAAATAATAAAAAAATAAAAGCTGAAAAACCCTGTCAATATCTTGATTTTAGCTCAGTGAGACCTGTATTGGACTTCTGGCCTACAGAACTGTAAGATAATACATTTGTGTTGTTTCAAACTACTAAATTTGTGATAATTTATATCATAATAAGAAATAATATAAGTGGCATCAAAGGAAGCTGTTTTTTTCCCATCACAATTATAATCACCATTGCCCTTTATCAATTAACCACCACAGTACTTGATCTCCTATTGTCTTACCTTTACATCAGCCCCTTTCCCAATTAATCATAGGACAATGTTTAAGTAATTGTGATGTCACTACATGATAATACCACTTCACCTGGCACCTTCAATGGCTTCTTTGATTTTAAACAGGAGACAACTCAAGTCCAAAGTTCTACCCTGAGGGCCTACAATCTAGAACAGGAGTCAGCAAACTCTTTTTTTTTTTAAGATTTTATTTATGTATTTGAAAGACAGAAAGTGAGAGAGAGAGAGGGAGAGCATAAGCAGGGGTATGGGGGGTGGTGAAGGAGAGGGAGGGGGAGAGGGAGAGGCAGACTCCCCACTGAGCTGGGAGCCCAATGTGGGGGTTGATTCCAGAACTCCAGGATTATGACCTGAGCCAAAGGCAGACACAACTGACTGAGCCACCCAGGTACCCCATCAGCAAACTTTTTATGTAAAGAGCTAGATAGGCTTTGCAGGCCTTATAGCTCTCTCACAACTGCTTTGATTTGCTCTTGTAGTTAGAAAGCAACCGCAGACAATATGTTAATGGTGAGCATGATTGTGTAAATAAGCATCAAGCCAGATTTATCCCACTGGCTGTAGTTTGTAATCCTTCATCTAGAACAATTCTCATAATTATTGTCTTAACCAGGATTCTGTAAAAACAGCCTGAGGCTAGGCTTAAGTGCTAAAGTTTCACTGAGAAGTACAATCTGAGGGCTGTAATAAAAAAGGGAAAGTTAAGTAAAGCAAAGAAGTAAAAGATGATATATTATCACACTAATCACTATTTCATGGGGAGAAGCAGCAGAAGCACAGCCAATCACGTAGCAGGTGAATCTGTTTGGTCTTGCTGGATGTCTATAACAGTTTATATTGTTGCAAATGGCAAGATCTCATTTTTTTTAATAATCCATTGTGTTTATATACCACATCTTCTTTATCCATTCATCTGTGGATGGACATGTGGGTTGTTACCATATGTTGGCTATTGTAAATAATGCAGCAATAAACACATATCTTTTCAAATGGGTGTTCTGGGGTTTTTTGGATAAAAATCCAGCAATGTAATTACTGGATCATGTGGCATTTCTGTTTTTAAGTTTTTGAGGAACTTCTATACTGTTTTTCACAGTGGCTATATCAATTTGCATTCCTGCTAATAGCGCACAAAGCTAGAGATACCACAATCCCAGAATTTGAGTTACACTACAAAGCTGTAGTAATCAAAACAGTATAGTACTGGCTCAAGAACAGACACATAGATCAATGAACAGACCAGAGAGCCCAGAAATAAACCCATGCTTATATGGTCAATTAATCTATGATAAGGGAGACAATAACACATAATGGGGAAAAGACAGTTTCTTCAACAAATGGTGCTGGGAAAACTAATTTTGCATATCATCCTTGCTCAGGGTCCACACTATCCTTCTCTGTATCATTCCAATTTTAGTATATGTGCTGTTAAAGCGAGGAAAGTGCTGGGAAAACTAAATGGCTACATGTCAAAGAATGAAACTAGACCACTTTCTTACACTATACACAAAAATAAACTCAAAATTGATTAAAGATCAAAATGTGAGACCTGGGATCATAAAGTTCCTAGAGGAAAATGTAGGCAGTAATTTCTTTGACATCCGCTCTATAGCAAGGAAAACAAAAGCAAAATTAAGCTATTGGGACTACACCAAAATAAAATGGTTTTGTCCAGGGGTGCCTGGGTGGCTTAGTCATTTAAACATCCAAATATTGGTTTTGGCTCAGGTCATGATTTCATGGGTCATGGTATTGGGCCAGGGTGGGCTGCCACACTCAGTGAGGAGTCTGCTTAAAAGATTCTCTCCTTCTGCCCCTCCCCCACTCACACTCATGCCCTCTTGCTCTTGCTCTTTCTCTCTCTCTCTCTCTAAAATTAGTGAATAAACCTTAAGAAAAGCTTTTGTACAGAGAAGGAAACCATTACCAAAACAAAAAGGCTATCTACTGATAGGAGAAGATACTTGCAAATAATATATGTAATAAGGGGTTAATATCCAAAATATATTAACTGATATAACACCAAATGCTGAAATAATCCAATTAAAAAATGGACAGAAGACTTGAATAGACATTTTTCCAAAGAAGACATACAGATAGATAATCAAACACATGAAAAGATGCTCAACATCACTTAGCATCAGGGAAATGCAAATCAAAACCACAATGAGAGGTCGCCTTACACCTGTCAGAATAGCTAAAATGAAATACAAAAGAAATAACAAGTGTTGGTAAGGATATGGAGAAAAACATTTTCTTTTTCTTATGGATTTTAGAATCATATCTTTAAAAATAAGTAAATTCTGATGACATTTGATTGGAATGACACTGTATTCATGGACCAATTTGAAGGAATTCAATATTCTTTCTATTACTATCAGGCAGACCTGACATTCAGGCTCAGTATTTAATAGGCAAATTCAGGTTCTATCATTTAAAAATAAAGAAGCAAACCTATACTATCTAATTTACTCAGGTGTTTTCTATGGTACTCAGCTAAAAATAAATTCTTGAAGAGGCCATATTTATGATGAAAGTGATGCTTTAGATCTTTTCATATTATCAACTTTGTTTTCTCATCATCAAAAGAAAATTATGAATAATTAAAATGAATAAGGATTATTTCTGTAACTTCAGAATATTTTCTATATAATTACCTATTTATAAAATCAAGATTCGGTAATTTGTGATTAGTGTGTATTGGCCATGTATCATTACCAAAACTGAATAGTAGAGGCCAATGACTAATGATACTGATAATCATATTAACTTCAAGCATAGACTATTTAAAAATTCAAGTTGTTCCACATATTCCATATCCTCCTCAAAATTCTAGAATTAAATACCAACTTTATCTCTAGGTGAAAATAAAGACTTAATTTGGGAGCATTATTAGTATAATTCATTCATTCATTTATTTGCTCATTCATTCATTCAACATATTTTACTTTTAGAAAACATTGAATAGAATGTTTGAATTGAATATGAATTGAATTAAATATGAACTGTGCTAGAAGTTAGGTACAAAATAATAGTAAGAAACACCTTAATTCCAGAATGAGGAAAATAAATGCAAGAATAATGGTACTGTAATACTCACTTTCCCTTCATCTCTTGGGCTATCACTTAAATGTACAACTGGACCTGGATGAGTCTTTGTGGATCTGTTAAATCAATTCAAAATATAGTAATTAAAAAATAAAATTAAAACACCTTACCATTATAGACGAGAACAAAAAAATTACACTAAAATACACTCCCAATATTCTGAGGTTTAAGCTTAGAGTCATTTGAGTTTTGGTTATTTTTCTTTAAGACTACTGTTCTTTCTCCTAATAATTCTATTAAAGTAGGTATATTTTTTTTAATCAGGTTTAAGAGCACAAATCCACATAACAACAGGATTCCTCATTTCTATAGCACAAAAATTATATACACAGAGACAATATTAATAATGAAAATGATGCTTTAGATCTTTTAATGTTATCAACTTTATTTCCTCATTATCAAAGAAAAATTATTAATAACCAAGATGAATTATGTCTTTTCATTAAATTATGAATCTATGAGTTAGTATCTATATGTTTGTTGCCAGATCTGAGGCTCTAAAAATTTGAAATTGAATTTATGCAGACAAAAGGGAATTTACATAGCCACAAGGCTAATGCTGTAAGTCTGTTTCAGACAAATTGCAAAGTATATAACCGATTTACATTTTCCTTTGACGTAAAATCTCTGATTTTTCTCGTAAGAAAAGTACGGTAGCTCCTCTGATTTACAAAGAAACCTTCTCTAGTGATAGCCAGCTTACAGAAAACTGACAAACTGGGGAAACATAGTTTGCTAGTTATGTCTCATTTATTTGCTCATCCAGGGTAATCAATAACAGATAACTATGTGTCTAAATGTGTATTTTTAAAGGATCTGTGCTCTGTAAATCTGACCTTTAATTTATTCTACTCTGATATCTGGCATGTTTCTTTTATATTTCCTACTTTAACATATCATTGTTGAATATGGTTGTGTCATGTTTAAAGACAATATGACCTGATATGACCATAGATTTATTATTGCTCATTTTCCCACATTCTTTCTTCAACAGTCTAATTGTGCCAGGCTAATCCTATTATGATTATGTTGACAGTTATAATTTCTTTTTAATATAATTTATTTCTTATGCATACATGAAAACCATAAAAGATTATTCACAAAATAGTAAAGAAGATTAAATTTTAAAAACTTTTTGAGAATAGAAAATTAACTCCAGCTTCTTCAGATACTGACTCCTCTCAGTAACTCAGAGGAACAAAACACTTATTTGTTATTGGTTTTATCCTAAATTTTCTTATCTAAAAATGGAGATAGTAGTACTGACCCTACTAATTATGAGGAATATTTATATAGAGCACCTAATATAATGCCAAAACATAGTAAGTACTCAATGAATAGTATGTAGATTGACTTCTGTAAATCACTGAAATAATTGGAAACCAGATTACCATCTGCATTCTAACTACAATGTTTTATTAGAGTAAAGTGCCTCTGGTAAGGAACAATGTCCTTCAATTATCCTTTGGAAACTAATAATATCCAACAAACTACAAATTCCTGTCTTTTGGGTTTAATTAGAACAACAAATACAAAAGTGTACTCCATGATAAACTAGTTGTTACTCAGTTTCAGATGATTATTTATTTCTACTCTACCAATCTTCAAATACTAGAAATAACTCAGAACATATTTAAATACTCTGATAGTCAACAAAACATATCTGTGAGCCAGAATTGGTTAACTGTCTGCTAGTTTGCTACCTGTTTTCTATATACTCTTCATGAACAATCTCATCTCTTCATGACCATAAATTCTATTTCATTACCTTTAGATCCATATATCCTACATTTCCTACCATTTCCCATACCAGTTCCATTAGCATGTCTTATAAATACATACAAATCAACCCACCTTAAATTGACTTCATTGTTTTTCTCCCAATCCACACAATCTCCTCATTTTTTTCACTAAATGACACCCTTTTATACACAGTTGCTTAAGCCTCACACCTGGGTGTTACTCTTAATTCTTCTCTATTATTGTTACATCTTCCCATAATGCCAAAGTCTTGCTTTTCTACCTTCTATTAATATTTAATTATGTCAGCTTGTCTCTAAATCAATGATAATGTTTATCAAGAATACAGTCTGTTCTCTCTTTACTCATTTCTTTATACATGCCTTCAGAGTCATCTTCCTAAATGCAAATTTGATCAAGTCAATTCTCTCCTAAAAACTGTTCAAATTCTAGCTCCTGGCCTTTAAGTCCAAACTTCTCAAACTGGCCTACAAGGCCTTTCATATTAAATACCATGATTATCTCTCCTCTAGCTTTATCTTTTGTCATATTCTCTCAGGTATTCCAACCAACTAAACTACTTAAAATTCCTGTACATGTAAGAAAGACTCTCTCACATTTCATCCTTTAAACCTTCTGTCCCCTCTTCCTAGAATACTCCTACCCCTCTCTCCTAATTGTTCACTCAGCTAACTAAAATTCTCATCCTTTGGATCTCAACATAGATGTAATTTCCTTTATAGATACTTCCCTGAGAAGTTAGGTGTCCTCATGGAATTGCCACATTTTATTTCCAATATATTGTAACTGCCTTTTAAATTAATCTCACCTTTATTAGACTGAAAGCCCCAAGAAGATAGTAATTATATCTTCCCAGTTCACAGTTGGTTTCATCTAGCATATATCATAGTGCACAATAAATATGTTTGAATGATTGTTAAACACAAGCCCTACACTTATGATTTAATAATCAAGTTCATGATCAAACTTTAATCATATGTAGAAAATAATAGGTTATATTTTTTTAAAAGCTAAGTGCTGCCCTGCAGAAACATCTTTTTCTGTACCATAATCTGGAATATATTTTCCAATAGAAAAAAATTTTAATGTCAGTTTAGTTCTATGCTACTATTTTATGAGGTATTCTACAAACATAACTGTTTCCATGGACAATGTGTTTCAGTTTCTAAATAATGAATATATGCATTTTGGGAACACAAGCTATTTATAATAATGAGAACTACCTATAATTATAATTAAGAGACTTCACTAAAAAATAGAAACTGAAAAATGACATTGAATAAAAAGTACTTTGAGTAAGAACTTAAATAGAAATAATTTCACATATCTCTTAAAGACAATTCTGCATTTGCATACTTAGAAAATATATTGTTAAAACTTGGGTCTAAAATTCTATTAATGAAATGTCTCATTTATTTATTTATTTATTTATTTATTTATTTATTTATTTATTTATTTATTTATTTATGATAGTCACACACACAGAGAGAGAGAGAGGCAGAGACACAGGCAGAGGGAGAAGCAGGCTCCATGCACCGGGAGCCCGACGTGGGATTTGATCCCAGGTCTCCAGGATCGCGCCCTGGGCCAAAGGCAGGCGCCAAACTGCTGCGCCACCCAGGGATCCCCCTGAAATGTCTCTTTTAAATAAATATTTTATTATTGTCGCATACACTTGACACGTATCAACAGGAATTGACATGCATTTTCTGATATATCTCAAGAGGTAGAGAGCAATTAAAACAATTGGCATTTAAAACTACATAGATAGCAATGGATCTATAATTCTATGGGATACACTTTTGGAAAACTGGTCTAAGTAAACTAAGAAACATTCGGAGGTGATGTTATCTACTAATAATTTCTAGAGGATACTTCAGGACATTTTCAGAGGCATGTACAACTCTTTTCTAAAAGATCAGGTTGATATAAATGATAGATTCTATTCTAATCCTGTATCACATGTCTAAGATCATACTATGAAAAACGTAAGTTCCTTATTGTATTTTAGTTCCTCTTAATTTTACTCTCTTTTATAGTATTTAAATTCATCATTAATCCTGAAATCATAAAGTACAGACTATGTAAATACATAGAGATAAAGTATAGGTCACTAATTCAGGTAGTATTAATTTGAACTATAGAAAGTATTTGTTAAGTATATGATATGGAAACAAAATAGCAAAAGTGGTGGAATATTTGGTCCTATTTAGATATTATATTAGGAGGATTCAACTGAACACAAACAATATATGTATTACTATTTGTACTAATATTAAATTTGTATAAAAGCTCTAAAATTCAATCTCTCAACATTATCAATATCCTTTATCATCTTTATCAATATCCTAAGAAAATTATGAAAGTAAGTTCAGCCTTATTTACTACTTTTATAGAACTCAGATTATAGTGGGAAAACATTTCCCAAATAGCTAAAAAAGTAAATAATTTTTTTAGGAGTTCTAATTCTATATAGTTTATGGAATAAATTTTTTTTAAAAAATACACATGTAGAACATTAAAACATAGGAGTAAAATAGCTCATGTAAATTATAAATGAAAGCTCTACGTCAATAGTATGTAACTATCATACTAATTCTTCAATAATGTCACCATTAGAATGACTATTCTAATGGTCACTCTAGAGTAGCCACTCTGTGGAAAGCATCAAAATAAGCCAAGTATAAAGAAAAAGAAAGGAGCAATGAACAAAGATTCTTCCCTGGAGCAGTTTTTAATCAAGAAGGAGAAGGATTACCTAACAAAAGACCCATTAGAAAAACAAAATCAAAACAAAACAAAACAAAACAAAACAGACCCATTAAGACATAAAACAAAAGGAATATTGTAACAAGAAAATAATTAGTAACAACCTTTCTTATATATACAAGCATACTGAAACATTAAAAATAGGGAATAGGAGATTTATTATAAAGATCAGACTGAAGCCTCATGAAAATAAGCAGTTTTAATCAGAGTTCTGGATAATTATTATATACCTCAGGATATGCATATGTATGTATGCCAGCCTCAAACATATCTTATTAAGGACCTAATATGTACAGAGCATAAACATTTATTAAAGAAAATTTGTTTTTCTGATTAACACAGTGACCAGGAGAATTATTTGTGTCATACTACAAAAAAATGGCTTAGAATTCCATAACATTGGGGATCCTTGGGTGGCGCAGCGGTTTGGCGCCTGCCTTTGGCCCAGGGCGCGATCCTGGAGACCCGGGATCGAGTCCCACATCCGGCTCCCGGTGCATGGAGCCTGCTTCTCCCCCTGCCTGTCTCTCTCTCTCTCTCTCTCTCTCTCTCTCTCTCTCTCTGACTATCATAAATAAATAAATAAAAATTTAAAAAAAAGAATTCCATAACATTTCACATTTGGGAAATTTCACATTTTATATATGCATAAACTTAAGTATCAATGCCAAAGTCAAAGGAATTATTACCACTAACCACATATCCAAATAGCTATATATATATGACCACACAAAAAATATTGATAAATTGATTCTCCTTAGAGCCCTGAATAATATGTTAGTGAGGTAAGTGAAGAATGAGCAATAAAAAATATGTGAACTGATCATGATTCTTTTTACGTAAAACTAAATGTGGTCACAATTCACTTGCCATTCCCATTGGAAGTGGCTATACTAACAATGACTGTAAAAAAATGAGATGATTTCCATGTATAACTTTTAGAATGAGCCTTAATATTTTATCATCAAATTTTGCATATATAACCCTTAATTATTCAGAAATCCTGAAGTATTCAGAAAGTCTAAAACTAGAATATGTTAATACTACAATATCTATTTTTAAAAGTCTTTATGGTTTTAAATTATTTTTGCTAAACTTTTCATTCAAATTAACCATAAATTAGCTATGTTTCAAATTACTCTGTAATTTGACGTGTTTTACATAACCACATGAAATATTTAAGTCAAGTAAAGTGATATTTAAGTTTAAACTTACAGCTCAATTGCCTTGTTCCACATGATAACGTATCCAGAAAGAATGAAAGATTCAATATTTACAATATGTGTATTTCCTCTTTCTGTTCCAACATAGAGCCATTTACTCTGGAAAGGTAGATGACAGTAAGTAATTCTGAAAGAAAGAAAATTACAATTAAAATATCTAAATTTTATGTTTGGTCAGCATTATATTTCCTTATACTTTTTAGGTAGTGATAGCTATATAAACAATAAAATGTACTATACACTCAAGTAGCATTTATAGACTGTAGAGGATAAATAAAAGTATACCATTAAAAACAATAATGATAATAACAACCACTATTAAAATAAGTATATACCATGGGCATTAACATATATTATTTCTAATTCTGAAAAGAATAATCCAAGACAGATATATATTTCTATTTTATGAAGAGGAAACTGAGGCCAAGAACTTTTATTTATACTTGCATTGGACTGACAACTAGTAAGTGGCAACCTCAGGATTCAAATCTATTTCTGATTGGTTGAAAAATTAGCAAATTTCTACACTGGTGGTTTTTATTTAGTAATATTCACTTCAAATAGAAATTAGGTATATCTGAAACATACATTTCAGAGTTATCAGAGAATTTTTAGCTTTATATATTATCATAAGTTATTTACTTTTTATTCAGATCCTTGATATTTAAATAGTATAAAGAAAGCTTATAAGTCAGAGATCTACTCTACTATTCCTTTATTTTCTTTTCTTTTTTGTTCTGACTTTATCTTCACAATGGGGTTTCTAACCTAACCAATTCTGGGAAACTATTCTGTAGCCAAAGAAACCATGACTCCTGCAAATGAAATCTGGGAATTTACCAGAATATTCTATTCATAGTGTATCACTCTTTCTAGTTTGCCTATTCCCACTCCTTAATTGCTCATAAAAAGACAAGGGAGATAAATTCAGTTATCCCTTGCCAGAACCTGTTATTGAAACAAAATGTTTCATAGAATTTATTCAGAAAAAAAAAACCTGGTAAAGTGTTAGAAGAAGAGGACAGAATTCTGATGCCAGGCAGACACACCAATACAGAAAAAAAAAAGGGGGGGGGAATGTGAATGGTAAAATTCACATATGATAATGGACAATTCTGATTAAAACCTAGAGTCTAGAATTGCTGTTGCCAAGGGTTATTTAATAATATCCCAGAGGAAATAACTTGATGATCATGTTTCTCGGCCATGAAGCATCTATTCTCAACTCAATATAATTAGAAAAAAAGAGGATTTTTTAAAAGAAGGTTTACGATCCTTTCTGAATCACAATGAAAGTAAAAAAAAACACTAATTCCATAAAAGTAGACAAAAATTTAGGAGTTCAGGTAGATAAAAAGCAAACTTCAATATAATTATTTCCAAGTTTAAGACGAAGAGTCTAAAAACTGCCAAGTTTCAGTAATGAGACCTAAAGCAAGAGGCAAAATTCCAATAGAGACAATCTTCACAGTATAAGAACGATGGAATACATGAAAAAGATCCAAATAGGATTAGAAGTATTCCTTGAGGGGGGGAGGGGCAAGATGGCGGAAGAGCAAGGTCCCCAAATCGCCTGTCCCCACCAAATTACCTAGATAACCTTCAAACCATCCTGAAAATCTACGAATTCGGCCTGAGATGTAAAGAGAGACCAGCTGGAACGCTACAGTGAGAAGAGTCCGCGCTTCTATCCAGGTAGGAAGACGGGGAAAAAGAAATAAAGGAACAAAAGGCCTCCGAGGGGGAGGGGCCCCGCGAGGAGCCGGGCTGAGGCCGGGGCGAGTGTCCCCAGGACAGGAGAGCCCCGTCCCGGAGGAGCAGGAACTGCACCAACCTTCCCGGGCGGAAAGGGGCTCTCAGGGAGTTGGAGCAGGACCCAGGAGGGCGGGGATGCCCTCGGGCTCCCGGGGACACTAACAGACACCTGCGAGCGCAGGAGAGTGCGCCGAGCTCCCTAAGGGCTGCAGCGCGCACGGCGGGGACCGACCGGAGCAGCTCGGAGGGGCTCGGGAGCGGCTCCAGGGAGGGAGCTGCGGGGCGGGAGCGCGAATCCACCAGCGCAGGCCCCGGAGCACAGGGCGCCGGGACACAGCCCAGGATCCCGCCTCCCCGGGACAGGCAGAGGCCGGGAGGGCCCGAGACAGCGAAGACGCTCCTGCCCCGAGCTGAGCAGATCAGCGGCCCCGCCCCGGAGCCTCCAGGCCCTGCGGACGGAGAACCGAGAGCCCCGAGCCCGTAGTTCCTGCGGAGGCTGAATCCAGGCTTCCAGAGCTGCCATAGCCACTGGGGCTGTTCCTCCTGGGGCCCCACGGGGTAAACAACCCCCGCTGAGCCCTGCAGCAGGCAGGGGCAGAGCAGCTCCCCCAAGTGCTAACACCTGAAAATCAGCGCAGCAGGCCCCTCCCCCAGAAGACCAGCTAGAGGGACCAGTGATACTCCCCCGTGTTCCAATACAACTTGTTTTTGGCCACTCTGCACTGAGCAAAATGACTAGAAGGAAAACCTCACTTCAAAAGAAAGAATCAGAAACAGCCCTCTTTCCCACAGAGTTACAAAATCTGGATTACACTTCAATGTCAGAAAGCCAATTCAGAAGCACCATTATACAGCTACTGGTGGCTCTAGAAAAAAGCATTAAGGCCTCACGAGACTTCATGACTGCAGAATTTAGATCCAATCAGGCAGAAATTAAAAATCAATTGAATGAGATGCAATCCAAACTAGAAGTCCTAACGACGAGGGTTAACGAGGTGGAAGAACGAGTGAGTGACATAGAAGACAAGTTAATGGCAAAGAGGGAAACTGAGGAAAAAAGAGACAATCAATTAAGGGACCATGAAGACAGATTAAGGCAAATAAATGACACTCTAAGGAAGAAAAACCTACGTTTAATTGGGGTTCCCGAGGGCGCCGAAAGGGACAGAGGGCCAGAATATGTATTTGAACAAATCCTAGCTGAAAACTTTCCCAATCTGGGAAGGGAAACAGGCATTCAGATCCAGGAAATAGAGAGATCCCCCCCTAAAATCAATAAAAACCGTTCAACACCTCGACATCTAATAGTGAAGCTTGCAAATTCCAAAGATAAAGAGAAGATCCTTAAAGCAGCAAGAGACAAGAAGTCCCTGACTTTCATGGGGAGGAATATTAGGGTAACAGCAGACCTCTCCACAGAGACCTGGCAGGCCAGAAAGGGCTGGCAGGATATATTCAGGGTCCTAAATGAGAAGAACATGCAACCAAGAATACTTTATCCAGCAAGGCTCTCATTCAAAATGGAAGGAGAGATAAAGAGCTTCCAAGACAGGCAGGAACTGAAAGAATATGTGACCTCCAAACCAGCTCTGCAAGAAATTTTAAGGGGGACTCTTAAAACTCCCCTTTAAGAAGAAGGTCAGTGGAACAATCCACAAAAACAAGGACTAAATAGATATCATGATGACACTAAACTCATATCTGTCAATAGTAACTCTGAACGTGAATGGGCTTAATGACCCCATCAAAAGGCGCAGAGTACCATGGACTTTCTTCAGAGACTTAGAACAAATTATTTTAAGATTCGTGTGGAATCAGAAAAGACCCCAAACAGCCAGGGGAATTTTAAAAAAAGAAAACCATATCTGGGGGCATCACAATGCCAGATTTCAGGTTGTACTACAAAGCTGTGTTCATCAAGACAGTGTGGTACTGGCACAAAAACAGACATATAGATCAATGGAACAGAACAGAGAACCCAGAAGTGGACCCTGAACTTTATGCTCAACTAATATACGATAAAGGAGGAAAAACGATCCACTAGAAGAAAGACAGTCTCTTCAATAAATGGTGCTGGGAAAATTGGACATCCACATGCAGAAGAATGAAACTGGACCACTCTCTTGCACCATACACAAAGATAAACTCAAAATAGATGAAAGATCTAAATGTGAGACAAGATTCCATCAAAATCCCAGAGAAGAACTCAGGCAACACCCTTTTTGAACTTGGCCACAGTAACCGGAGAAGGACAAACAGTGTATGTTCTCATTCATTTGGGGAATAGGAATAATAGCGAAAGGGAAGGGAGAAGAAATGTGTGAGAAATATCAGAAAGGGAGACAGAACATAAAGACTTCTAACTCTGGGAAATGAACTAGGGGTGGTGGAGGGGGAGGAGGGCGGGGGGTGGGGGTGAATGGGTGACGGGCACTGAGGGGGACACTTGATGGGATGAGCACTGGGTGTTATTCTGTATGTTGGTAAATTGAACACCAATAAAAATTAATTTATAAAAAAAAAAAATAAAATAAAATCTTTTAAAAAATTTTAAAAATAAAGTCAGATTTGAAAGAAATCCAAGGATAATTCCCCAGAAGCAGATGAAATATCTAAACCTATTTCTTAACAGTTACTGCCTTCAAAGACTGTAAGACCAAGGACTAAAGGTTCCCCATAAAAAAAAATAAATAAAAACCTAAAATGTATAGCATAAATTGTGTAAATTAAATATGTATATACAAACATAAGGATATATAGAAATTTACATAGTTAACTGGCTAATTGAAGAAACCTTAGAGTCCCAAAAGATACTTGGTTAAATTATCCTTTACAGACCTAAGCTTCCATCCACCATACATTTAAAAATGTTTCCTCCTAGGGATCCCTGGGTGGCGCAGTGGTTTGGCGCCTGCCTTTGGCCCAGGGCGCGATCCTGAGACCCGGGATCGAATCCCACGTCAGGCTCCCGGTGCGTGGAGCCTGCTTCTCCCTCTGCCTGTGTCTCTGCCTCTCTCTCTCTCTCTCTCTCTCTCTCTCTCTCTCTCTCTCTCTCTCTCTCTCTGTGACTATCATAAATAAATAAAAAAAATTTAAAAAAAAGAATTTTAAAAAATGTTTCCTCCTACAGCAATGATTATTGAAATGATTATTTCAATTTAAAATAATGATTATCTTCAAATTCAAGATCATGAATTTATCTTTATCAAAAAATATCCTATTTTTGTAAGCATTAATATGAGCAATGCCTGCAAAATTCTATGATTTTAAACTTGTCCAAAATATATCAGCTTGGTCTTTTATGGTGCTAACAGTTAAATCTACATCAATTGAGATAATAAAATTATAACTGAAAATCATCACCATCAATTATTTCTTTACCCTACCTCCCAAAGGACCATATAGGGACTGGAACATTTCCCTCAACATTCCAACTGTAAGGGTAAAAAACCTATTTTGTCCATCTACACAAAAGTGTGGGGCCAGATCTACTCAAATTGTTGAAACAAACAAAATCTTACAAACAGAGAAAGAGATAAAATCAATATGTTAACATCTGGTAGGTAATATTTTTAGCGGTAAAAAACAGGAATAGTGTAACAACTCTTAAGTGATCTTTACATTTTTCAATATCTTGAAAATTCTGCTGCATTACTTAATTTAAAATTTAAGATAAAATAACCAAAACTAGATCTAATCTAAATAAAGAAATTCTATCTGGTTTTAGCAGACTCTAATATATAAATTCCCTCCTCTCAAAATATACTGGAATTAATAAAAATTTCCACTGATTCTGAATCCTAAAATACTATAGACATAATACTTATGAATATTACTCAGAATATTGAGGGTGAATGATTTAAATAGTATAGTATGCACAAAATTAGAAAAAGCAAAACTTTAGATCAAAAATGCATAACTGCCATCCTTTTTTCTTACATACTTAGAAAAACAGATTTACTTCATTAAACTCTGCCCATATAGTGATGATTCTGTATTAAACTATCCATTCAACAAATTAAAATAAGCACTGTCTTGAGTCCTCAGCAGTGACTGCCTGCCTCCATTATTCACCTACCTCAGTTTGAATAGTACTTGCTAATCTTTGTAAATTTACTTCTCAGGGGTTTCTTTTTCTTTCATTAACATCAAATTTTCCTGTGATGGCCCTTCTCAATTCACTGCAAAGAGTTAGATTGTTTTCCAAATAATAAACAAATATCAGGTTATTTTTCAGTTAAATTACAGAGATAGATAATAAAATACAAATTTTACTTCCTCTCCAGGTGGATTATCAATTAAGTAGATGTGAAGTATGTTCTAGGTCTAACTGACACCAACAGTAGAAGCAATAAAATTTGGTAGTTTGTTACCAATAAAATCTAGTAATTTTCTCCATATCCATTCAATTAATTTTCTCTTTCGATTATTAATATTTCATTCTAAAATGAGGGAATCTATATTCTGATCAAATTATCATCTTGGAAAACGTTAAGCTTGGATGTGTAGTACTGTTCAACACTTAGTACCAACATATTTGGACTAAGTGTCTTGTATGACACTTTTGACTCAGTATTTTTTTTCATGTTAACATATTTAAGTAAAAGACTTTAGTGTAGGACATAACTTCCATGATCAAAAGGAGTAAAAAGGTTTTAGCATTTACTTGACTTTTAACCTTAGGTCTGAGTTTTCAGCACCAAGGCCTACGGAAAAAAAAAATACATCATTGCTGCAGTGCCAGTTTATAGCAAAAACAAAAATGTTAGGAGTTCCCCCATTAGATTGAATCTAATTAATTATGAATTATCTATGAAAATAAACTACTATAAAAGCAAGCATAACACCAACTTATTTCTAGATATTAAGATTATGAAAAAAACTAGTCTTTCAAAAGTTAACCTGAAACTTCTCAGGAAATACTTTTTTCATACTTCAGGAAATTGTTTAACTCAGACATTCTTACCGTTCTCGGTTAAATTTAAGAGAATGAAGAATAGCTGGCCTTTTTTGTCTAAGATTCCACAAATGAAGTGTATCATCTGAACTTGCACTAACCAGAGCACCCTGAAACAAAAAGAAGACAAAGTGAGCTACTTCCTTAAGAGTTTTTTGTTAAGCAAAAACAATAAGCTAATTTACTGAAGTTTTCACTACTTGAAGAGCTATTTCTATCTATATAACCTAGAAATACAAGGAAAAACAATTGTATATAGTTCAATCAGGAAGGCTAAGAATGCTGAGTAGATGAGGAAATAAATTACTGCATATAAATCGGTCAGAATAACTAGCTCAAGGAATATGCATTTAACACTAGAGAGAAACAATTATTGAAGCATCATTATGATATTAAGGATTTTTGTATTTTGTTTGGGAAAAACTAAGTTTAAATTTCTTGTTTCTAATATTCACACACATATTATGTAGCTTCCAGAAAAGAAAATATCCAACCCAGTTTTAAAATTGCAATCTGGTCATATAAAAATTCACCATTATAAGAACTTTCTGTACAGTTGGAAAATACATATTCTCTCTACAAAGTATATTTGGTATAATTTATTTTCAATAAGTAATTTGTTCCAAGAAGCTTCATCAATAATAAAAGAAAACATCTTTAACGAAAGAAAACATTTATCCAGCTAGCATTCAGTATAACTAAAAAAATACTAAGATATGTTTTATATTACATCCAAATACAGATGAATCATATTTCAAATACAATAGGATGTGTCCTACCTCTTAATATGGCAAACACCATAAGGGCATATAAGGGCAGATAACTAACTGCCATATATGATTTCAAACATATATGCTTAAGTTATTTCCTTGATTTAAGTAACATCTTAAACTCTGGTCAGAACTTTTACTATTATGAGTTTCCCAGCTAAAAATGCCAATGCTTGCCCTCTGACAAAGCCTGACAGTATTCTAGAGTACTAAATGTGTTCTATAAAAGAGATCTTGCAGAATCATGGTATCCTGATTTATCCAAAATTCTTTTCAGATTTTGCAAAGTAATCTGCTACAAGTATAACCTTTCATAGTTTATAATATTGACCACAGATATCAAAATGACTATCCCATTTAGAGGATCAGATATAGTTATATTGAAGTTCCTAGATTTTATTTCTTTAGGAATTAAAGAAGATAGAAACTGTTATAGAAGACCGTATAGGTTCCCAAGATGAAAATGTTCATGTATCCTATCATGCTTCACTTCATATTGTGTACCTACGGTTTTAGGCTCAGAGAATATCTTTTAAAACACAAATCATAATCTCAGAGTATATCCATTAAAATACTTTTTAAGGGACACCTGGGTGGCTCAGTGGTTGAACGTCTGCCTTCAGCTCAGGGCATGATCCCAGGTCCAGGGACGGAGTCCCACTTTGGACTCCCTATGAGGAGCCTGCTTCTCCCTCTGCCTATGTCTCTGCCTCTCTCTCTCTGTGTTTCTCATGAATAAATAAACTCTTTAAAAAATATATTTTTAAATGTAATTTGCATATTTGTATGTAAGTACATAAATCCACATGTTAAAAGAGGTATATATTGATATATACATTTTAACATGAACACATAGAAGATTATATTCCATTCAACAAAATATACTCTATACGTGCCTTGAGGAATTTTATGTTTGTTTGCTTGTTTTATATATAAACCATCCCCAAATGTTACTTATATACAAACTCAAATGTTACTGGAATTGCATGCAAGTGCTTGATAAGCTCATTTTTTGTTTGTTTGTTTGTTTGTTTGGATACAGGATACTGATTGCTTTTCTAAAGACAATGGAAATGTGCTTAGTATTAGGGTGAGAATAGAACATGATATATGAAATTAATAAAACATTCTCAAATAGTTATGTGCTATACCAAAGATATAATATGCCAAAGACAATATATTAAAGCAGCATATATTCAATAATATCAGTGTGATAGCCAAATAAATTAAGGAAGGAAGTTAGTATTATTAATTCTAAGGTAAAATATGAAGTAACACCATTTTGGAGGGATGCGAACAGGACCACTGAGCATAACAATACCAAAAGAGATTATAAAACACATCAAAGTGAGCACACCAGCAGGTTGTCTAGGGCTTACTTACAAAGCAAAATAAATCTATAAGAAGCACAAATAATAAAGATCTGTAAAAAGATTAAAAACTGAATAAAAACACCAGCCATGAGGCAGAGACTAAGAAGTTTGGGAAAAGGTAAAGAAACTGATGTGAGGGCAGCCTGGGTGGCTCAGCGGTTTAGTGCCGCCTTCAGCCCAGGCCCTGATCCTGGAGACCTGGGATCGAGTCCCACATCGGGCTCCCTGCGTGGACCCTGCTTCTCCCTCTGCCTGTGTCTCTGCCTCTCTCTCCCTCCCCTCTCCCTCTGTGTCTCTCATGAATAAATAAAATAAGAAAAATCTTTAAAAAGAGAGAGAGAGAGAAAGAGAAAGAAAGAAAGAAAGAAAGAAAGGAAGGAAGGAAGGAAGGAAGGAAGGAAGGAAGGAAGGAAGGAAGGAAGGAAGGAAGGAAGAAACTGATGTGAGATGGATCAGGGTGATTATTTCAGGCTAGGCAATGTAACATCTGAAGGATGTTGATGGTTTGTCTTTTTACTTAGTTATTCAGCACAGAAGCAAACTTAGGGACTTTAAGATGATTCTCAGAGGATGGAAACTAGAGAAAATCACCTAGAAACAAGTCATGTCTGCTAGTACACAGCCATGCAGAGGGCAAAGGCTGAGATCTCTCCACGAGGAGCTACAGAGTAACACGGAGAGTTCAAAAAGGTTGGCGTTCTAAATACTAATGACAAATATTACAATAAAATATTTAATTTCTCTTTTCTTCCTTATCTCCCTCTCTCATTGTGATACCTCATAGCAAGTACGCCTACAATGTAAAATATGCTAGGTTTGTCAATAAGGAGAATCTCACTGCCTTCTGACAAAGATTTTGGGCCAAGAGAAGTAAAAGGTGGACATCCACCAACATCACAAATTTTTCATGTCTTAAAGGTCTCTGATACAAAATTCCTATGAACCATTTTACTGATGTTTAGGATTATAAAATTCTTAGAGAAAAACATATATGAAAATATATGGAGATACTGAATAAAAGATCATTCATACCATAAGAAAACAACCAGTAGTACTTCATTTTTTTTTCTCAAGGCATTGAGTTTAATCTGCTAAGTGCTTGAATTTGGTATGAAACAAATTTTAAAGCACTTTTGCAATGACTGGCTCACTAAACTTAAAATAGCTCGAAAAGACATAATGATCCATTTAAAATATTAATAAAAATGAGTCCAGAAGGCTTAATAAGTCTTCAACCTATAGAAGATCTGCATGCATTCTGAGCTTTATAAGTATATATTTGTCTTTGGGAAGTTCATTACCATAGGTCTATTAAGAATAAGGGATAAGATAGGGAGCCAAATGTCATAATAGCTATGGATATATAAATAAATACAAATGCATCTAGTACCAATAAATATATCTGAATATGTATTCAGATAGCAGAACCCATAGGTAAATAACTGAAAAAGTTATTTCAGGAAAGATAAGGCCAAAACATGAAGCTAGTATATAAATTTAAGTTGGTAGGCAAAAGAAAAGTTTAATAGTCAATGAAGCAATCAGAGTTTTAATAATTTTTAAAAGCATGTGAATAATTAATCTGTAAATTATGCTACATAAAAATAACAATCTTTTGGCATATGCAACCTTTTCCTTTAAAATTTAATAAATTCACAAATACTGATATAGTGTTTTATAAGAAATATGTCCATGAACAAAAATATTGCATACATATATATCTTTAAACATTTAAAACATATGAAAAATAGCATTTAAATAATATATTTTTATATATCATAATATAAAAAAGATCACATCAACTAATCTAGTGTGTACGTGCACATCACTGTGACAGTCAAGAAAATCCTTACCTCATTGATCAAGAATTGGAGCTGCAGGACAGCTGCACCACTTTCATGTTGGCAATAACAATCAACACCAGGTCTCCCGAGTCTAATATAATAAACGTCAAGGATTCTAACATTTTAATTAGTACTAATATTAGTGAGTAAAGTAAAAACTAACTTACTTAGCATCTAATGTTTTGCTTTTTAGTTATCCTTATTTTTGTAAATAGTCGAAAAATCTTAGTTGATGCAAATTACATAATATATAGTACAGGGCATTAACAAAATGGCCAAATAGGGCATCTTTGCACATATCCCTTCCTCAACAACAATAATTTGCCATCCATGCACAGACAAAAGTGCCTCCCAGGAAGCTCCCAGTTCTAGATAGGAGACTGTGAAACTCCAATGCAGTCCAAGAATGAAGAGAGTTGTTTTGAGGAGGTAGGCTTACACCAAGACAGCTGATTTACTGATTATAGTCTCAGCTACAGAAACAGAAATGGCTCTGTACCCCTGAGAACTCAGCTATAGTTTCATGCAGCTTGGGGTCTGTCACAAATATGCACTATATACCAAGAGATCTGGAAGAGTCACTCCCACCCAGGCATCAGATGGTAGTCACACAGACCTCATTTCAGCTGTGGACCCAGAAGTGGTATTTGAACCAGCTCTAGCTCTTCTTGGCTGCAGTGCAGGAGCCACTGGAGGTAACCCCAGCAAACTCAAGCAAACCATAGATTCTGAGATGGCATTGTAACTGGGCTCTAGCCCATCCCAGCCATAGTGTAGGAACAGTCTTGCTGGCACAGGGATCCTATGCCCCTAGAGATCCTAAAAGGGCCCTATATGTGGCTTCATCTTCCTCACAGCAACAGTCTGTTAGTAGTCCTGAGGGTCCAGGGTCCCAGCAGAAGACATTCCCATCTATGCATCTGAAGATCTAGGAAGGGCTCCATACTCTCTACTCCCTACCGCTTCCAGCCATAATCCACAGGTAGGCCTGCTGGCATGAGAACCAGGCTGCAGACACTCCTATCTGTGCTTACAGGGACCTTGAAAGGGCCAAAACATGATCCCAGCCGCCTAACAGTCATAATCAGCCAGCAGTCCTTTGGGTCCAGGGTCCCAGTAGGAAACATGCCTGGCTGCAACCCTGATGACTCTGAAAGGGCCCTATATTCAGTTCCAGCTCACCCAACTGCCATCTGCTAGGCAGTGCCATCTATTGCCACAGGGACCTAGCAGAAGACATTCCTGTTTGTACTCCCAGAGATCCCTATACTGGGTACCAGCCCCTCTCAGCTTCAATCTATGAGCAGTCCTATAGGCACAAGGACCTTGTAAGAGATACAGTTGCACCCCAAAAGATCCTGAAAAGGCCCTATACTTGGTTTGAGCCCCTCTAGCCATGGTCAGGGACCAATCCAGCCTATCAAGTGACTTGGAGAGAGACATACCCATCTGTGCCCCTAGGGCCAGATCTGCAAACTTAATATTGGCTGTGGAATGTGAAACAGCCCTGAGGCTCAGTTCCAGCACCTCTCAGCCACAGATCAGGGTCAATCCTGCCCACCCAGGGAGCCATCCAGTAACTAGATAGCAGTCCTACCAGGGATATGGTGGTAATCACACCCGCCATTTACTTGAGCATAGGCTCGCTGTCTATTTACCTGATAATAGGACCCACATATAAGCCCTTGTCCAGTACCACCCTACTGACAAGGCACTAATGGCAGTTGTATGCACCCAGGGGCCAGAAATGATCCACATTGGCCTAAGCCCTGGTAACAAACCCAACAACAGACTCCACTGCAGATCCAGTGACAGCCTTGTAACTGGCTCCAACACAGCACACCTGCAATTCTGGAGATAATACTATCAGCTCAGGGAATGGAACAAGAGATGGACTTTATCTTCCATTCTATAAAGACTGAAAGAAGGGTTTGCTCCTGCAAAAGCACAGACATCAATACAAGGCAACATGGATCATGAAGAAACAAACATAAAGCACCACCAAAGAATACTGATAGCATTTCAGCAATGGACTCCAAAGAAATGGAAATCTATGATTTGCCAGCAAAGAAATAAAAATAATCATCTTAAGAAAATGTGAATGAAAATGCAAAAGAACACCGATAGACAACTGAACAAAATTAAGAAAACAGTTCGTGAACAAAATGCATTTAATAAAGAAACAGAAACCATAAAAAGAACCAAACAGAAATCCTGAAGCTCAAGAATACAATGTCAGAAATGAAAATTTCAAAAACAGAGCCTAAATAACAGCCCTGATCACACAAAAGACTTAGCAAACTCAAAGACAAATGATCTGAAATTAACCAGTTAGAGAAACAAAAAGAAGAGTGAAGAAAGCCTAAGTAAATTATGGGATACCAACAAGCAAATGGGCATTTGCATCATGAGAGTCCCAGAAGAAAAAAGAAGAGGAAAAAAAGCAAAAATATCATTTAAAGAAAAAAATAGCTGAAAACTTCCCAAATCTTGGGAAAGCTATATATATCCAAGTACAGGAAGCTGAAAGAAACTCAAGCAAGATCAATCCAAAGATTTCTCTGAGAAACATTATAACCAAAATGCTTAAAGATAATGAAAAGGAGATAATTTTGAAAGTAACAAGAGAAAAGCAATTTTTTACTACAAAAGAACCCACATAAGTCTATCAGTGGATTTCTCTGCAGAAACCCAGAAGGCCAGGAAGTAGTGTGATGATATATTGAAAGTAATGATATAAAAAAGCTGCCAGCCAAGAATACTATACCCAGAAAAACTGTCCTTCAGAAATGAAGGAAAGATAAAGACATTCCCAAACAGTAGCTAAGACTTCATTACCACTAAACCTGATGCTACAAAAAATGCTAAAGGGAGTTCAAGCTGAAATGAAAGGACACTATGTAACAAGATGAAACATAAGAGCGTAAAATTCACTGGTAAGAGTAAATATATAGTTAAATTCAGAATACCCCAGTACTATAATGGTGGTATATAAATCACTTTTATCTCTATTATAAAAACTAAAAAAAACATTTAAAATATTATAGCTACAATCATTTGTTAATGGATGCACAATATATAAAGAATAAAATGTGACAACAATATGATAAAATGTTGGAGGACAAGTAAACGTGTAGATTTGGTATGTGATTGAAAGTGAGTTGTTATCAGCCTAAAATAGACTGTTATATCTCTAAGATGTTTTACATAAGCCTCATTATAACCAAAATGAAAATCTATAGTATTTACATAAAAGGTAAAGAGAAAAGGATTAAAGCATAAATATATATATATATATATATATATTTGTGTGTGTGTATATACATATATAGATATATATACACAAAAAAATAACAAATTCAGAATTGAAAAAGAACAAAGGAATAAAGGAAATAAAAAATTCAGAAAACAATTTAAAAATGGCAATACTAGTACTTACCAACAAATAATTAACTTAAATGTAAATGAACTAATTCTTTAATCAAAAGATACAATGGTGGCTAATCAGATTAAAAAAAAGATCCAATGATATATGGTCTATATGAGACTCTCTTTAGCTTTACAGATACACATAGGCAGAAGTTGAAAGGATGGAAAAAGATATTCCATGCAAATGGTAACCCAAAGAGAGCATGAGTGCTTATACTGAAGACAGATAAAACAAACTTTTAGTCAAAATCAGTGGCAAGAGGAAAAAGTCACAATGTAGTGATAAAGAAGTCAATTCATCAAGAGAATATAACAATTATAAATATATATGCATCAACACTGGAGCACCTAAATATTTAAAGTGAATATTAGAACTGGAAGGAGAATTAGAAGGCAATACAATAATAGTAGGACACTTAAATACCCTACTTTCAACATTAGAGAAAGCATCCAGACAGACTTAATAAGAAAACAGTGAACCTAAATAACACTACAGACCAAATGGACCTAACAGACACATAAAAATATTCCATTCAAAAAACCTGAATACAAAAAAAAAAAAAAAAACCTGAATACACACTCTTCTCAAGTACATACAAAATATTCTCCAGGATACATTATATGCTGGAATACAAAGCAAGAAGATTGAAACTATTTCTAGTATCTTTTCTGACCGCAGTGCTATTACAATAAAAAATCAATAACAGGAAGAAAATTGAAAAAATTCACAAATATGTGGAAATTAAACAACAAAATTCTGAACTAATGGATTAAAAAAACCAAAAGAGAAATCATAAAGTATCCTGAGACAACTGGAAATGAAAACAAAACATACCAAAACTTATGGGATACAGGAAAGCATTCCTACAAGTTTATAGCAAAAAATGCCAAAAATAAGAGAAAAGAAAGATCTTAAATAAACAACTTAATTTTACAACAAAAGGAATTAGAAAAAGAACAAACTAAGCCTAAGTTAGCAGAAGAAAAGAAATAATAAAAATCAGAGTGGAAATAACTAAAATAGAGGCTAAAGAGATAATAGAAAAAAATCAATGAAAAAGTCAATGAAACTAAGAGCCATTTTTTGGAGGGATAAACAAAATTGACAAATCTTTAGACTGAGCAATCAAAAAAGAGAAGACTCAAATAAACCTATAAATGGAAGAGAAGACATTACACATGATCCCACAGAAATTCAAAGAATCACAGAAGCTACTTTGAACAAGTGCATGTCAATAAGTTGTATAACCTAAAAGCAATGGATAAGTTCCTAGAAACATAAAACCTACCAAGAATGAATCATGAAGAAATGGAAGATGTAAAAACACAATAATGACTAAAGGGATTGAAGCAATAATCAAAACCTCCCTTGGGACACTCTGATTGGCTCAGTTGATAGAACATCTGACTTTTTATTTTGGTTCAGGTCATGATCTCAGGGTCATGAGATCGAGCCTCACATCATGCTTCATGCTCAGCACAGAGTCTGCTTGATATTCTCTCTCCCGCTCTCTCTGTCCCTCCCCATGTTCACACTCATACTCTCACTTCCTCTCACTCTCTCTAAAATAAATGAATAAGGGCACCTGTGTGGCACAATCAGTCAAGCATCTGACGCTGGAATTTTAAAAACCAGCTACTCAGTTCTAGGAGAGCCCACAG